TCTTGGTGGAAACATCTGAATTTGCGGTATTTTAACCCAGAATTAAAATTACATCCTGCAGATAGATAGGACAGCTCAGGGCACCTTGCTGCCACTCTGTGTCTGCAAGCAGCAGTAACGAAATTCCCTTCTGTAAAAGACAAGGTCCTCATATAAAGGCTTTAGGGAACCACCGGTGGTTGTTCCTACAGCATTTATAGGCTAAATAAAGATGTGCTCAGAACCCTCTTTTTAAAAGCTGTGCACCCCATTTTCAGCCTCACTCAGTTTACAGCACCAAGTTTTAGAATACTTAACAGGGTCCTATTACCTTTGATGTACTCCAGTAACCAGTGCTGTAACTGATAACGTTATAAGAACAGAGGGTGGGATCAGTGTGCTGGATCAAGCACAATTCTTGACTCACAGTTAAGTCATGTAATACAGATCTACTTGCAGTTTTTTTTAAGTATACCTTAAAATGTTGCTCCTGTGCTGGCAAAGTAATTTGCCAGCACAGGAAACTGCTCATTCATAATACAGCAAAGAGAACTCCTTGTAGTTTTGTTTAAATTTATTCCAGGGCCCACAGCAGATGTGGCTGACACTTCGGAAAAGATAAAGTATTCAAGTATTTTTGTGTCAACATTATAAGGACAAAAATGCCTCCTGGGTCAGATACGAAATATATCCTGTAGGGACCGACATCATTATGGAGCTGTTAAAGAACACAGTTTGCCTTTACTTAATTCAAGAGAAAACACTCAGAAAGCAGCAGCAGGAAAGGGGTTGTGGGATCATGTCATTGAGGGAGCACCTGAGCAAAACCTGACATACCCAAGTTCTATGTGAATCCACCCCCCCACCACCACCACCAAGGGAAAGCGAGAGATGTCTGCAGAAGCTGTCTGCAGCTTTATGGCAGGTTCTGTCAGTCTTCCATACTTGGCTGACTCCTACCTAGTCTTGTCACTGTTCCTGGGAAGAGCTGCAAGCACCAAATAGACATGATCTCTAGCAGGATGATCACAGAGCAACAGGAGATTGCCATAATGGTTCATTTTGGAGGCAGAGAAACACAGACTTCTACCCTTGCAGTTTTATTTCACAGAAATGGGTCAGAACTTAACGAGTGTGCTGCAGTTCCAAGTGCTAGCTCTTTCCAGGTAGGAATATCATGCAGGAGACCTGTTCCCTGAAGTCCACTCTTGAGTACCTGGGCAGACTGGAGAGCAGGCAGGAAACTGCCTATAATGAGGTGCTGCTGACACCTTGTCTGCCACAGCCCAGACACCTTAGTAAGAAAACTGATGAATGCATCAGAAATGTGTACATATGGAGGGGAAATATATTTAGAACAACAGCTGTCTGGGTATCAGTTGACACCCAAATTCTAATTACAGATGCTGTACATCCAATGCTTCACCTTGTGGCCTGGCTGAGACCTAAATGAGTGTGAAGTGGCTGATGGCATTCCCACCATCACAGCAAATTATTCCATTGGTCTCCTGATGAACAGCAGGTGATGCAGAGGTGCCGAGGCATGACAGGAACACAAGGCAGGAGGCCATGGAAGACATTATTGATCCAGTCACTGGAATAAGATGTTCCAGAATAATTATGATCAACCACAGGGTTTACTTACTCAGGAACAAGGGATCAATACTCAAGCAGCCAGCTTGGGAGGAATGATTCAATGGCATAATGAATTTCTCTTTGTGACAATGAGTGCTAAACTCCCAGTTCTCATACACTGGGGGAGAAAAAACATGTTTCTTCCATTTTTCAATGTAAATAAAACTTGCAGGGTTCACCATCATTCTGAGGATGCATGCAGAAAATCAAGTCTGTGGAGGAGACAAAATGGTCTCAAGCAGGTGAGCACAGTGTACTCCTTTGTGTTTCTCAGAGACTCAGTGCTTTCAGGATTGACAAGGGAAGTACAAAGCCCATGTATACTTCCCCAGCTCTACTTACTGCTAAGAACCTTTATGAGATCATTTTGAATGTTCTCACAAGAAGCAGAACACTATACATGGAGCACTTCAGGCAAAATGCTGGAAGGAAGGACTATAATGATGAGGTTGTAAATTTTAAAGACTAAACCGAATAGTGTAAGTACCTATTTCATGGGACATACTAAGAAATACAGGTTCGTCAGACCTTTTGTCCTAGTGTATGTAACAAGAAATGAGGAATGTATGAAGAATGTGTGTAGAAATGAGTGTATGTAATAAGAAACGAAGAAATGCAAACTCAGATACAAGCCAAAAGCAGCAATAAAATCTATAATTTCTGCTTGTGCTGGGGGTGTGTGTGAATTGTCATTAAATAAATAACGCTTCTTCCATTTAAGAATGTTTCCTTCTATCAGCTCAGTATATAAGTAGCAAAGAGGGGTTCCAACTGAAGGGAATTGCTGTTTGACATTAATCCACTCTGTCAATGAGCTCCTGCAGGATCCTGAGCAAGGCTTGCAAGACATTTGCACATGCCAGCCTACACTGCAGAGTACATTCAAAAGCCTGATAAAGCGGCATGCATGCTGGGCTGTTTGAGGCGAAGGAACTAAGATATGCATGGCACAGTCAGAACTGCTTGTCACTCCTCCAAACCCAGCTCCTACCAACGCTCATTCTAGGCAGCTCTAAGTCCTACTAGGCCAGATGCTGATCTCAACTACACAAGTACAGGGTCTGAGAAATAACTATCTGACTACAAGACCTACTGGCTGGATGCGTTGTTCAGTCTTGAAGTTCATCTAATTAAAGAGACCTAATAAAATCCCTCATGTCAGTAGAACGAGGTCCAGTTATCCCATGGGGAGAGTTGGGAAAAGGGACAGATCAACACATGGGTGACACAGGCTCATGTTCCATGGCAGGCTTTTGAGGGAACTGCTGAAAACAGAAGTACTGTATTGGCCAATACTGAAACTATTCCCTTGGCAGTTAGGGTTGGCCATAGATCAGGGTTACTTTTGGAAAGGGCAAGGATGCATTTTTTTTCACTTAGACAAGGGTCTGAAGACCAGAGCAGTGGGTTGAGGCTGACTCAACTAGAAAGCACTGAATGATGGGAGTGAGCTCGTGTTAGCAACTATGAAGTTACACAATGGTTCTGCATGTTGAAAAACTTATTTCTTCTGTTGCCATTTACAACTAGTAAAAATAACTAGGAGACAATTTGTGAGAACGATCAGAATCCAGCCTTGCCTGTCCTCATCAGCCTGGCAGTTCTAGTCATGAATGCTCAGAGGACAGACACTAAAATGTTTTATTTGGGGATACATCATTTCATCAGGTTTCTTCAAGCCCTTTCACCTCCACAAAACAAAGAGTGCAGTAAATATGCCTCAAGCTTCATGATGCTGCAGCTTTGCTCAACAAGCACGTTATTTTCTGTAATGGAGTATATATATATATATACACACCTACTTGGAGTCCCAGATTAAAACTATCATTTACTCCAAGTGCTATGTAGTGCAGGCACCTTCTTCACATAATTGAAGATGCTTTATGAAATCAAAGCAGCAAGTACATAAAGAAATAGTTAACACAGAACATAAATTATCGGTATAGCCCAAGCCATTCTCTTTATTGCTTTGTTTTACAAAGATAGCTAAATTTTTTCATGCCTCATACAACAAGCTTTTTTCCTCACTGACTTGGTCAGACATTAAGAAGATGACACAAAAGATTTTTCTGATCTCATTAAGCAAGACTTGCCAGCAGAGAAGTTTGTTCTGCATGAGGTACTGCTGTATCAATAGACAAAAGGCTGAAAGGAAACGTAACCTATCAAGGAATAAAGACGCATTTTGCAGGAACAATGTGTTGTCATTAGGTATAATTGGGCAAATGGTGGTGTGATCCTAAAAGCCTCAGTTGATCATATTCCCTTGAGTGCATTATCCAATTAGGAAAAGGTGCATTGGATACGCCTTGCTTCATTGTGCTGCTGAAGTGGAGAGCAGGTGTGAGAAAACAAACAAGTTTGTAATCCTTGCTTTGCAAATCAGTTCTTAATCACTTGGGCTCTTATTTCCATACCAGATTTAAGTTTTCGATATTTATGAGAGCAATTTGGCAGCAACTTTTCTGTGGCTCAAATGAGTAAGAGGTCCAAGAGATTTTTATTTTTTTTTAAGGCTTTTAATTACTACAACTAGTGCATATGGTTTATTTCAGGTCAGAACCAGTAGCTGTAATGAGACATCCAAGCAAAAAAGATTGGATGAAGCCCTGCTGAAAATGTGAGCCACACAATGTGGATAATGTATAGTTTCACCATTTCTTCTCTCGCTGCATGAGTATACAATATACAAGTATTACAACAGTAAGACCTTGGTATATAATGCCCAACTCGTATCTTCCATTCCTGTTAAGAAGTCACTTCTACCCCTGCATTATTTCATACAGCTACCATCACTATTAGGATAAAAGTGGAAGAAGCCTACTGCCAGGATATTCACATGTTCACCTTTCAATTATGCTCAGTCTTTGGGACCACAGTCCATGTATCTGGCTGGTTATGGTGCAGGAGACATCTGTTTCAACAGATGTTCAAAGGAAGCCAAAGGGTAGGAGGATAGGCATTGGGATGAAGGCAAGCTTTTGCTAAGTCTGTTGACTAGAAAATTCCATTTGAGTGGGAGAGAAATAGACATTGTCATGTATTGCCACTGTGGCTGTTTTAATTTTTCTCTTCTAAGACATTTTTGTTGAAGAGTGTTAATGGTTTTGAGCAAAATACACCACACATCTTGTGCAATGCTAGAGACAAGGGATTGGATTTGATGGACCACTGGTCTAAGACAGTACTGTATGACAAGCTGTGCTGTGAGCTGCTGAGATTGCCAGTGGCAGCCCTACAAATTGTTCTGTAATCTCCCTACACACAAGCGAATTCCTATGCCTGCCATCCTCTGCTCAACAATTATCAAGAGCACAACACAATAACAGCTTGATTAATAAAGGAACTTTTAATTAAAACCCAAAAGAAACAGGCATTTGACCCACCAGAGAAGAAAGTGGAAAGTACTGGTTTATTCCCTAGGGGTGAATGTCACATAACAAAGTTACTGCAAAGCTGATGTTTTCGTTTCTGTGTCCACGATTCTGTCAGATTTGTGACAGTCTTTCTGCTCTCTGAAATTCTGTGTTTGAATCACCCTACAATTGCAAATGGGATGTTGTTATCAAAGTAGAAAAAGCAGTGCATGAAGAGAATTTAGAGTTTCTTCTGATAAAACAAAGATTGTTAAATAAAACAGCACTTGGCAATTGGTGTGATGTTTTCAGATGCCTGATAACAACAGCTTCAAGAGGGAGTTTATCAGCTCAGAAGAGGCAGCTCCCACACTGAACTTAGTACAGAAAAACAAAGGCACTCCAGTTTGAAAGGTAACTGTCTCCTGCCAGTACAGAGTTCTGGCTCAACAGTCACTGGCCTTGCTTGGTCACTTTGTCTGTGGATGAGGAACAGGAGAGAGCAGGCAGAAGTCTGGCTACAAACTGCCCACACGTGCTGTGACCTCTGCCAAAGAGAGAATCAGAAAAGATACTTCCTGCTGCCAACGAAAACCTGAAGGCTCCGTGAGATGTGCTCCCAATGCATCTGTTTCATTCAGCCTTCCTCCCCGCCTCAGGGGCTGAGCACTCTGCAGGGCTCATCCACATAGTCAGTGTCTGCTGTGGGGTACAGTTATTCCATGGGGTGGTGCTATCATTAACAAGTGCAACAGTTTCTCATTTGTGCAGAAACTCCTATCTAAATTAAATGCAGAACTGCTAATGAAACAATAATATTTACTCCACACTCCACTACCTTGTCATAGTTAAACCTAATTGAGTTGTGTTCCAATTCTACCTGGAAGCATCCTGAGAAGAGCAATGTCACAGGGTGGCCCCAGAGGCCCTGGAATTCTCTCTGGCAAGTGGTAATTAAATAAATGTTTGGGATCTTTCTTTTCTAAATAAGCAGGTTACAGCTGACCCTTGTCAACATAAGCAAAGATCAACAGCACGATGTGTTGCAATCCTAGAATTACTGGCACCAAGAAGCAGGTCTTACCACATCAGGATGAAGGCAGAGTAAATATTTCAGTCTTTGTCCCAGGAATGTCTAACCCTGTGCCAAGAAGTTCTGACAGTTCTTGATCTATCTGATCAGTATTCTGAGTTAGATCCACTGGGGCAACCCCTACAATTTATGCAAGCAAGAATATGGCATGGGTAGGAAAAAAGAGGAATGAGACTATATTTTTTTACAATTACTTGCAATTAGATATGACTATGCTTAATAGTGACCCAGTTGATGCTGGTCTAAAACCAGGCTGCCCCAATTCTACCCTCCCTATGCCTCCAGCTGTGTGACTCTGTTCTGTCCCTTGCACCAGCAATTAGTTCTAAAACTAATGAGTTCCTTGAACCAAGATAGTAATCTGAGAATTATCATTAACTGCTGCTTAATTACAAGGTCATAAATTGAGTATTTTCATTTTCTCCTCAGTCCCTATGCTCCCTAAAGGTAGTTTGTTCACTGTGACAGATACCCTAAGGAAAAACACTTCCCCGACAAAGAACCCTGGTGGAAATACAAGGCCTGTCACCTGGCCAAACAACCCAATGAAACTTCCTTCTTTGCTGTTTAGTGGCTGAATTAGGAAGTGTTGTCAGAGTGTTCTTATTTTCAAGTCTCGTATGACAAGTAGCAAGACTTAATTTAAAGACATCTTGTTCAGGCAGAAACACCTAAATAGTCATTGATTGTTTTTCCTTGGTTGGATGTGTGAATCTCTGAATTTAAAAGCAGAAAGTGCTTGTTATTTTTGCTCTGTCCCTGCTGCTAGACAGGCTGCAGGGCTTGTGTCAACATTGCTGGAATGAAAAATAAGAGTTGGAAGAAGTCAAGCCTAAAATTGCTCCCGAGAACCAGGAGGATTGCCACTGAATTGAGATGAAAAAGTGCAGGCCCAGTCACTTTGCTTAGTTAGAAGCATCTGCAAAGACTCTGGAGAATAATCACCTTAGAGAATATCCTCATGTATGGACATTTCACAGTAGCTCCACAGATTAGCTGCAGAGACCTGTAAAAGCCCCTTCCATCTTTATGGGCAGAAAACCATTATTATGCCAACATTTGGGAAGGTTGAAACCTAAGTGTCTCTGGAAACTGACTTCAGAAATGCTTCTCCCATCACTGGAATCTAAAAGCAAATTAAATCCTCAAATGAATGTATTATGCAGAAGTAATTAGGTCCTGAAAACAGTGAACATTAAGATGGTCATAGTGTGCTATCCATTAGAACAAGACAGAAGTGTTAAGAGCTGTTTTCCACTCACAGCAAGCATTTGTATAAACACACTTCTATGCTGCTCACATCCCCCATTCCTTGAGACAGGCAGCACAGGAATAAGGCTGATGCTTTCATGCAGCTGTGCTGATCCCCCTAACTGGAGGCTGGTGTACAGCATATAGATGGGCTGTCCACGCAGATTCCTACTCCTGGATGTTTGTCTAACTACCACTGCAGAGCAGAAACTGCAAGGCTGGTCTACAGTAATGCAGGTAAAAGGGACATTTACTCTTGAGGGAATGAACCAAATATTAATCCTTAGCTTCCATGTATAGTGACACGTTTGGCAAATATTTTGATAATTTGAAATTATAAACTGTAAATTATAGCAAATTTTCCTAGGATTCCCAAAACCATGCTATGTACATTTATTTTGGTAGCTCTTTTTAAGTGGTAGCTGTGACAAGTGCTCAGTGATTAAATATTATATACGCATTCACAAGTCTCAGGTTGAGCCTGTGTGAACGGAGATGCAATTTGACTGCCCTGCCAGGCAGGAGCTGTGCTACAGTGAAACGCCCAGGATTGCTGAATCCCTTTGCTTGGTAAGATCTGTGTGACACTGCACACCCTCATGAAGAGTGTCCTTTTAGCAGTAATCTGTAAAACATGTTTTAAGTGGTAAGGTTGGTTAAATTCACATTTGATTGCCATTTTATTTTGCATCTTATTAATTTCTCACAGTTTTATTCAAATTGAATTATTACTATTTGGATGAACCTAATAATCAGTTTTTAACGCCTGCTGAATGGTCTTGCCTGATGACTGTGACCTGGGGGCTAGATTCTGGAAAGAAATGCCACTGAACTGAGGAGTTGCTGTTGTTGACCAGATAGACAGAAAATTTACTCGACTGGCCCAGAAAGTATTAATAGACTATTTCCTAGTCATAAGCAAAAACCAAAACAAAACACCCAAACCGATCTTTGAGTATCGCCCTATTTAATCTTATATCTTCATTTAAAAAAAAAATCAGGTAAATTCATCCATACTGTAACTCCACTGAAATTATTGCCTCAACTCCAACCCTGATTCAGTCTTGAACCTGAAATTAAGGGAGTATTGATAGGGTGAAATCTGGTTTTGCTGGGCTATCAAACATCGCTGCTGCCAATTTAAAATGGAAGATTTACCAATTGCTGTAGCATCCAGTGAACATTCTTCAATGAGATTTCTTTGTGAGGAAACTTCTTCCAGAATCTTCAAAACTTCACAAAACTGTTAGTTTATTAGCACCACTATAACAAAACTTTCTTTTCAGACTAAATGTCGACTTCATTTTTTAGCTTCTGTATTGCAGAAAAAATAATAGGCAGTCACTTCATGAGTCATTTGTTTATCTCAGTGCCTTTGCAGCACGGATGTGATCAAGGACATTAATGTATTTTCTGAAGCAGAAAAACATTAAATAACCAAAGACCTTTAGCAACCTCTAGCGATATCAAACGAGATAATACAACATCACTCATTTAACTTGATCTTTTCACTTGAGTTTCATGGAGATAGCACCTAAACTCTGATAAAATCACAGACTTACTCTAGCTCTGTACTTCCTCTAGCTCTGTACTTCCTCAAGGGCTGAAGCTGATTCACATGCTGTAATAGGACTCTCTTTCCACTCTCACACCCAGAAAGAGGGGACCATTGTTCAGACATACCTGGCACCTAGAGGCTGACACTGTTACATGCATTGTCAGATCTTCAGAAGACAAAAGTGCCAAGACAATGAGTACTTCAGCAAACCTGGCTACCTCATCTATATCTAGATGGGAAAGAGAAACCTTTGAAAATTTCATGACATAACTGTCAATTTGTGGTCATTAATCTGTTTTTAATTTTTTATGTTGTCAATTTGCCAGGCAGTTGCAAACTCTGAACAATAGAAATTAGTGGTAACAAAGCTGTTGTAGTCCTGCACACTGCTAAAATATAATACTAGGAAGGTCCAAACAATAACACCATGTAGTCACAAGTCTGAAGCAGGAAGCCTGAATAAGCCATGATTTATTTTGTGATCAGATGCTGGTTTACCTTGTGAGGTCCCCAAACTCTCTACTACAATCCATCACTGACCTTGTCATTAAGTGGTCTGCACCTACCAAAGAGTAAGACTTAATAACTTTGCAATTTAAGTCTGCTATGATTTACTGTGTGATCAGATACTGGTTTACCTCAGAGGTTCCCATCACTGATAGAAGCAAACTTCTGTTGGAGATGAGAGATGCTCAATATAACCCAGTTCCAGCTGAACTATGCAACACACTCACGGATGTGGGTATCGTTAACTTGGTATCAGTTTAGCACTGTTTTTGGGTTCCTCCTTAACAGGCTGTACTGACCAGTGCTATCTATGTACCTTCAAGTAAAGTGCTACATGCCTTCTTCCCTCCTATGCAAGTATGTATTTATACAGCTACTTTGCTCAGTACCTGGCATCATACAGAACTGAAAGTGATTCTAATGAAGATGGAGTTACTGTTTTTCAATAAAGCACAAGTAGTTGTAAAAGGTCAGTAAGATTTACTGTGGTGTTGGCTTAGAGATCACTTGTTATTCAAATGACAAAGGTACTGTGTTTATAAAGTACAGCGGGAGATCAATGGCACTGTTTATCAGGAAATCCTTGGCATTTCCATCATTTCTCCGTGCAATAAAACTTGAGCTTTGCTCACTCAACATGAGCTGTGGAGGCTCAGAAAGAATTACAAGTTATTGCTGAGATCTTCCAGAAAGTATTTTAAAAAGTCTATCAGCATCTTGTTCTTGATAAGCCATTTCAAATGCCAAAATGGTGGCTCACATTTTTTAATAAGCTACAAAGATGTAGTGCTATGAAACGTTTAACTCCACATCTCCCATGATGCTTCTGAATCAGTCATGGAAATGAAGGTCTAAAAAATTTCTAAGAATATTTTCTTACGTTTAATAGTTGCTTTATTTCTTTTGTAACAGTTTCTAGATCTACAAGCATCTTCTAGGTGACCTACAGATCATCACCGAGCAAGTTTAACAAAGGGATTGATTTCATCAATGAGTTTTCCCTTTGAAGTTGTTCTAAACCCTGCATTGTCTTGTACCACAAGCTGAAAATCACCAATGCATTATAGCTATCTCTGTGTTCAAGGATATGAAGACCATCACTAGACATTCCAGGAATGCATTCAAAAATTCCATCATACCATATAGGTGCCAACACAGAATGTTTCAAATATGGTTACAGCTATAGACAAGGAAATAAAAGACATCTGGAGGAGAAAACTGCTTATTATTGGTTCGTAGAAAGAATCATGTGAAACTGCTCACTTAACAGGACAGGCAACAACATCATCATTTGTGGGCCAAGAAAAGTGTTCATACTACAAACAGTCCCACCAAAGCTTCACTGGAGTCCAATCAAACACAACTTTTCTACTTACCATTTTCTTGACTTAAATTTGCACACCAGGCCCACTGGGCTTGGTGAATTCCACATGCTTCCTAAAAAAACTCCAACCCAACTATTAACAACACTTTTGACTTCTTTTGTCACGATCTGAGACTTTCAAAGCACGTCACAAGCATATAAAGTCACTGTAGTGTATTACTATCACTTATTTGTGGATAGGGAACACAAACCTCAATTATTCAAGGGTCCACCTAATTTCAGGTACCATGTATGAAAAGCCTCACTTTATAACTACAGTTGGAATTCTGCGTTAATGAACCATTAAGAGACACAGAGCAATTCACTGAGAGAGACAGAAATAGAATACAGTTGTCCCAGTTTTCAGACTCCATTCTAACCAAATGACCATGTGGCCTCTCAGCTTGGTGCTTAAAAATATACCAGCTGCTGCAGTTTGCATCTGCAAACCATTCTCTAACTGCTTTAAAATGTATCTTTGTTCATATTCAGGCTCTGCTGAAAAGGCCCACAGGGTGACAGAAGAGTTGAGAAGCACAGAGACTTTGTGCCTCACAGTCTTCTCAGCAGAAGCAGGTATCAAATGACTCAAGAAACTTTTACTCCAGTGCTACATGCTCATTCACTCAGTTTCCCTTGGGATGCACAGTGTGCCAGCTGGGCAGATGTGAAGAAGACATGAGAAGATCACAGAATCCTTCTAAAAGCCAGTACTACTCCTGGTCTCAGCATATACCTCACCAGACACGTACATGTCTTTATTGTCCCATAAAGCATGATGTCCAATATCTGGCCTATCAAACAACTTTAATTATAATCTCTGCCCCCAAATGGCATCTGAATACCCACTGATTCTCAGTGTTGTTTCCTTTAAATGAACCCTTAAGCACCAGTGGAGAAGCCTATTGTTATTACAATGACTATGAAAGTTATAAAGATGCAAATAACATAAAGGTCTTCGTCATTATGTAGCTAGTAGCATAACAGGAAAATCATCTTACTTGAATGACTGGTTGTGGTGATCGTCTTCCTCCCCCTAAAATCTCTGTTGTGTATCAAGCTCCATGAAAATGACTATGCATGATGGACAGGGGAACAGTTCTAAACTGAGGACTCTCAAGTTCCCTCATTAACCAGGTAATTCACTCAACCCTCCAAAGAAGAGACTTGCTGATCTACTGTGCACTACATAATGTGCACATTTCAGCACTGCATTAGATCTCTGATGGCTTCTGTGATTAACCAAGTACAAACTGTAGAATTTCCTAGTTGATTTCTAGCCACTAATCCATACCTTTGATACAGTGAAGGCTTGAATTTTAAGTAACAGATTCCACATTCACTGGTGCCATTAGTGATGAGTGCAAGTGAAAGAAATAAAAAGGCCATGACTATTCTCTTTGCTACACGCTTCACAGAGACAGTGGGATTAAGAGACAGTACCAGAAACTGGAGACTGTATCACTACTGTTTGCTAAGACCTTCCCATAAATGGTCCATGCTGGAATCAGAAGAGCAAAAACTCTGGTTGTTTTCATCCTGCTGGTAATGCCAAGTGACCAGCTTTCTTATAAGCTTGTCCTTACACAGGGGAAGAAATACTTGCCTGGATAAAATGACTGTCTTCTTTCTTCCAAGTCCCTTTGAAACACTGCATCAAAGCTTACAAATCCACTGTAACCTAGCCCTGATGAGCTTGATGATGATCTACAGCTACCAAAGCTCTTGAAACAACATATTTATGTTCAACACAACTGATGTAATTATTGCATCTTCTCACTTGCTCAATCAGTTCATACACCCACATGTGTATATACATATATATACATACAAACATATGTTTGGTAGGTGTAGGTCTATGAAGGTGTATGTATATATGCATATATAGATGTATGTACATAACTGCACTTCATTCTAACTCTTTTGGGATGGACAGTTTCAGTTCTACTTCTTTATAGTACTTACCATAATGGGATTCTGACCTTGACCACTGATGTGCTGCAAGACTCTTTAAAAGCTTGTAGCCTAAAAGATAAAATGACTAATCTTACTGCAGGAAGAATAACACAGGGTAAGCAAATTTAACTCCTCATAAAGCGAGCTGACCAAATAACTTAGTAACCACTAAGAACAATAAAGCCACATGAAAATGTTAGTAATAATTCATTAGTAAAAAGCACACACAAAGTGCATATGCATAGTCACAGGTACAGAGAAATAACAGAGGGGAACACTTGAAGTAAATGTTACCTGTTTCAACCAGAGAAGCCGATATGGCTGACATCTGAGATTAACTTTGTTAGTAACACCAGATCACTATTCAGAATTCCTCTCTACACCTGATTGCAGGTAGCACCCCCATTAAGAACAGCTGCTCCTGGCTGCTGTGTATAGGTAGGCACTGATGCAGCTGCCTCGTTGGCACAGTCCTGCTACTGGCCACAGTTCCAATATGGACAACTTGAAGGCAAATCATATTTGCACTGCATCCTTTAAGCAAGGCTTGAGGTCACTTTACTGAATAATTTATGCAGATGAACAGCTGTCTTTTACAGCAACTGAAAGCAACAATAAGAAATAAAATTCTTACATTTTAAAAGCTGCAATAGAAAAGTCTGAATTTCAAGAAGATATTCTACAGCCAGCCACAGGGGCCAGTTCTAGAACTTCTCACGCTGCTTTTACTCCGTCTTATTTGTGCTCCCACCGTGGTCTCTGACCGTTGGGCAAGCACTATGTATGTCAAGATTTCAGGAGTTTCTGAGCCTTGTACCTTTGACTTCTGAACAAGCAGGGACTGGCAGGTGGGGTTTCAAACGTGCTCTGTGCTGGTTGCTCCCAGTGAACCTGACAGGAGAACTAGCTGCAAGCTGAGGACTGGTGACTTCAAATTCCAAAGCAGCATTTTCAAATGCACCAAACACTAAATCTCTTATCAGCTCTTCTCTCCCTCACACAAGTTTGTTCCCTTTCACACCCAGTTATGGCTTGTCTATCATAATGAGGATGTGTTAGGAGCAAGTGCAAAGAAACAGGATAGAGGAAACAAATTATCATGTTATCCCTTTAATTGCCATGGGAAGTAGTGACTTCCTATTTACAAACCTCCAACTGACTTTGCAAGGTACATGACAGCATGAATCAAACTTACTTCTTAAAAGGAAGCTGGATGACCACCATTTCTATCATACCAAATCGAATTTCCCTGAATATCTTCTTGCTACATCATGAAACTTGCCCCAGCTTAAAACCAGTATTTTTGCAAGGTATATCAAGCTGTATATTTGCTTTGTCCAATGACTAATTCCCTGTTGGAAGTGAACAAGAATCTCCTGAGTGCTGTCATTAGCTGGGAAATAACAATAGGCTGAGCAGCTGGGATGTTCTGGGGCCTGGAGACACAGGGTCTTGCTTGTTTCATTAAGTGACATTATTTGGTTTGAAAAACCCTGGACTGTGCCTGAAACAAGAGAGAGGGCACAGTGGTAATCTTTCTGAAGATGGCCACTTTATTCCCAAATTGCAGGACTCTCCTGACTAGAAAGCCCTAGTAGAAATGACCCTGCATAAACACTGCAGAGATAATGACAAAATAAAGAAACATTACTGTGAATCCATTGAGATCTTTAATTTCAAACTGCCACCATCCCACAAGGAACAAACTGTGAGTTAGGCTGACTCTTAAGTATACAATTAAGTCTGTCAAGTTCTGGCTCCATAATATGCTGTTTAATATTGAAAAGTCTGTCAGTAAACCAGTATGTGGGATTATTGTCATAATGCTTTGGCTTTGCTTCCTCATGAAACTATAAAACAATTCAGCTGTTATAAGCAACATGTTATACTTTTGGCAACAGTTTTAATGTTATGTGGGATACTTCCCCTTTCCTCAAATTTAATAGCCTTCCCTGGCCTTTATGGATTTAAACTGGTGATGGGAGCTGTGTGCATTCCACGTGGAATTTACTCAGTAATTCTATTAAGAGCTTCCCCACACAGAAACTAATGTTCTCATCTCATTCAATACTCATCCTATTCATTATTTAAAACAGAAGACTTAATCTCTTCCTACATTAAGTTTCCTCAAGGGATTTTCTATTAGTTTGAACAAATTCAAAAGATTAAGCTTCAACAAGTCTGTGTTTGCAAAACTACAGAACTCTGGGGCTTACAGTTAGAGAAGAAGGTTTTGCCTTTTCTGGAATTTTTGAGAAAGAGGGTGTCAACTGGAAGTTACAGTCTTCAAAATCGCCCCTTAACTGTTGTTCGTCACCATTTTCAGGTCATGTTTCAAGTGATGTTCAGCATTAGCCAGCAGGGCTCCTCATGATTTCAAGCCCATTCTCTAGGCCAGCTCATTCACCTGGCTTTAACTAGCAGCTACCCCCAAAAGGCCTCAGAGCTCACATCAGACACAAGTATTTCCCACCACAGGTGCTTGCAGTATGCAACAGCAGAAGCATCACAGCTGGGGCTCAGTGCTGGAAGAAACAGAGAGCACAGGACAGGAGTTGCCTTCATTTCCCCTCCTGGATTGTATATAACCAATGACTGAAAATGAATGGAAAAAAAGTGCTATTAGTCCTCAACAGTTTTGGTTTTTGACGAATCACAACAGGCCACCTGGGCTGTGACATGCTGTGCTGCTGGCTATGTGAAGCTCCTCTCGCTGGGCATGTCAGCCACAAAGGGGCTCACGTACGCTAGTGCTGGCTGTGACTATAGCAGCTGCACTTCCAAACAGAGTTTGTGTGTCATTAAACCCACTAAACACTATCTAGGCCCATTTACTTAGCAAACAAATTTTGAGGACTAGGTAGACACAAGTTGTTGGGAACCCTGCCCCCAGAAATGATTAATATTTAATAAAATACACCTTTTATTATAGTCACTTTCATCATGCAAAAAGCTGACAATTCTGGGGCATCGCAAGTTCTTTTTTAGTCCTGAGAAACAAACTTTCAGACACAAATGCCTCTCCTCAGCATTAAGAAAGGTCTGTATCCCTGAAAGCTTGCCTGCCTTGCAAAACTATAATGTTGGTCTAATAATAGGGACTATATAAAGATCATAGTGGCTGTGTCCACTCTGGCATTCTGATGTTATTAAAATCAATAAGAGGAGAAGCAGGAATTTTACCTCTCACTAAAATACAGTATGTCCTCCTGCAGGGGGAACTATTTACATATTCGGATACACGAGAAGCTGCATTTTAGAAAGGATCACACAGAAAGAGAGTTGTTCACCTATTACTGATACCCATCTCCCTTATTTTCTTCCTGATTAGTTCAAGTTAAGGAATGAAGTGGGAGGAGTGGCATAAATAAGCTGTGATTTCAGATTTTCCCAAGAAAACAGAAGAGCTGATTTGCCTCTCATTTCTGTTAGCAAACAAGTCCTTCCTTATTTACAACACTATCTCCAAGAGGAAGTTCAGACAGAACAGCTGAGATCTGCAGTCCTTGCAAAAAACAGAATTCAGTAAATAATCAAGAGGATAAAATTGGTTAAAGAGAGGAGATGCTGGAAACAATAGTCCCAGGGACAGTGGACTCTTAATAAGAATTACGGGATGCTTTAAGTAGCTGGTGGAGAGATTTCTCTTAGCCAGGAGAGGAGGCAACCTTTTAAATGAGAAAGATGTGTCTTGTGTTGTATTACCAAAAAACCATGCTCTTTTAATAAGGGAAAGCTAAGTGAGTGGAAGAAAACCAAATGGATTCTGGTCTCCCTTCCTGACCATGCCACTACAGCTCTGTGACCCAGAGCAAAGCACTTAAACATTCAGCACCTCTCAGTGAAACTGGTAACACAACTACGATGGCAGGAGGCACATTCATTTCACAAAACAGTATTTTTTATCCTATAGCTCAAGAAGAACTGTTTCCATAACAACTCCTACATTCCATGACTCCTAGAGGGATGACTATACTTCAGTTTCCCATTTCTGACCATGACCACAGCAAGGTATCCCAAGGAAGACAAAAATGCAGAAATCTGCCAGGGAGAACTTTCTGCCTAACTCCAGGCTGTCATGGTTGACTGACTGCACAAAACACAACTGTTTATATTCCTTAAAACAGAGATCAGGCTTGGGTTAGCAGCAGATTTTCTCATTATTCACCTTCAAGATTTTAGGGACCAAGAACTGTGTGCCCAGTGACAGACATCAGGCTGAGTGTTAGGAGCACTGACTCTGAGCTGGACAAGTACTCAGGACAAGTAGAGGACCCGGCTCCTGTGCTTGTGGAGAGCAAGCTGAACCAGCAATCCAAGCTACATGCAGGCTGGAAGAGGAGGAACACAAAAGGCTCTGGGTTTGGAGCTGTCTGTCTCTCGGTTTCTCCATTTAGAAGCCCTTTCAGAAGCTGGGGTGCCCTTGAGAATGTTGTAAAGAAAAATAAGGAACTTCATCAACAGAACTGATAAAGAAGCTCAAAGGATTTGAAGCACCTGTGATAAAAAACAGTGGCTGGGTAAAGGGGTTGTGGATCACAGCAGTGCTGAAATATATTTAGGTATTTTGGGGTGAAGTACGATAGCTGGACATCTCTGTGCAATTCTAGAATCAGCAACAGACAGATATGTGCTGGGAGCCAAACCCTGTGCTGAGACAAGCTCTGGGCAAGTCTAGGGTGTCAGTAGGTTTGTGGCAGACAGAAAATTACAGCTTGGAAGGTGGTTCTGGAATTTGAGAAAAGAAACTCTCCCTCCTAACCATGAATTCAGCTCTGTGTCATGAATAATTGTGTAGTGAGTGGGAAGAAAGGACATTAATAATTCTAAAATAAACCTCCAGAAATCTTTTAAATAGAAAAATTGCCTGCAGGGAAAATGAAACAGGAAAAATGTGGCCAAAAAAGCCAAAAGGAATTCTAAAAAGAAAGATAACATATTAAACAGAGACAGTTTTCCAGCTGTGAAATAGGAAAAGGCTATCATTCATAAGAGAAAAAGACCCTCTGAGGTGCTTAAATTTAACTTTCTCCGTTTAAACAAAGCATTAAAGAGCTACTAAATCAGTCCAAAATAGAACACGAATAAGTGAGCAAAGTGCCAGATGCCTGGCTGAAAGTCCTGACCATTGCACTGTGGATATAACTTTGCACCTACTAAGAAGCTTTCCAGAGAGATGTAGTTTGTAACACAGGATTTCATCCCTGGTGAAGTCCTCAGGCCAAAGGTGTCAAGAAGCAGATTTTAATGAGAATGGAAAGAGACTGACCTCTCTTCTTGTGCTTCCATGAGTAATCTTCGGCACTCTATTTCTGTCAACAAATAAGGGAACTTCTTTGATGAAATTATGGTTGTAAAATGAAGGAGAATACAAGCCAAATTACACCCTGCAGTATTTTACTGAGCCTGACTTTTGGATCCAAAATGCTCAGAAAACATTCCCTTTGAGTTGTCTCCTAGGGGAAAGGAATCCCTGAGCAGTGTACGAAACAGTGTAGGATTTCTGACCTAGCATTGGATTCATTCCTATTCACTCTTATTCATTCTGGCATAGTGGGTATCCCTAAGAGAAGAGGAATCCCTAGCTCCTACCTGCTGGAATGAGGGGTCTACATGCATTTTTATGCTATGTAGAACACCTGTACTGGTAACCAGGAACTCATCTACAATGTCTAGAAGCCAGTTTGGAGCTACTACTGCTGTTCTGACCAGGGGTCAGACACCCAGAAGTCTGCCCAAGCGCAAAAAAACTAAAATGCAGAGCTTTCAAGAGTATTCCCCAGATGCCTTCTGTCTGAGGCTGTGGCACAGCACTCTAGAGAGCTGCAAACACAGCAGTGTCCTGCCAAGAAAGGTGTTCTCAAGACATGGTGACAAGTTGTTGGGTTTTGTCACTAGCTACTGCTGAATATAACTTTTAACTGAAACACTTTGATGGCAGTGATGAGAGGGACATACAAAGGTGGTTTGTGTTCATGACAATGGTAGTAAATGGGAAAGCAGAAAACCACTGACTCCACACTTGGCTGAAATCTTCCATGCAGCAACAATAAAAAAGTCCCAAATTGCTGCAATACTGTGAGCAGTCTGTACTCCAGTTGTAGTCCTTCGTATTGTCATCAGGATCACTAAGGTTATCAAAGAATCACTAGCTCTTTATCTGTGCCCCTGCATGGTCTGTTTTTAATAGTACTGTGTGGAAGAATACCTTAAATAGACAGGTTAAAGAGAAGGAGTCTTATTTCTAGTTACAATAGTATAATGCTTTTTGAAACTCATAGCAGCAACATAACTATATTTTAATACCTAATGCTTTGCACCCCATAGTCTAATGTACTGTTTATGGAAGCCTATACCAAGAAAATACAGAATTGCGAGCCAAAACCTGTCATTCAGAACAAGAACCAGTGCTATAAACTTATGTAAATACAATCCATTAAAATTTTTCATTGGTTTTCTTCCTTAATAAATTGCCTGCCTCTCTGCATTTACTCCACAGTGCTTCCTTAATAGAGAATATACAAGCTTCTTTCAGTTAAGAGAAAAACTTCATTTTCTCTATGCTGTGTTATCAAAAATTCAACATAGTCTCTTTAAAGAATGGAAAAATAGCATTTCTGGGATTGGAGCATGGGTATACAGAGGTCAGCAAATAACTATCAGAGTTTTAAAATGCATTCAAAATGCAGAACTCTGACATCAGCAAAAACCCCTGAAAACATCACATCACATCAAATTACCTCACAGCTATTTGCATAAAGGGTCCAGAGGCAGTACAGTATAAGAACACAGACACAAGCTATCCAAAGAGAACTTAGCAACAGTTCTATTGGATACTGCGTGTGTCTGTAGCAGAAAAAGGGCAAGTCTGGAGCTCAGATGTGCAAACAGCTTTAAGGGACTAAGCAACCTCTTCTTGGCAGATGCATCAAGCAAAAATCTGAAACTACAAACCAGGTAATTTACCAAATCATTTCCTTTTTAGCTGATTCTAACTTTCTGTCTAAAGATTGCTCTGAGCAAAATAGCCTATGTGATATTCTTAGGGCTTTTATGGAAGGACTTCATCAGAAGTGATAGAAACCTGCCATCAAGAGAGGTAATAAATTCATTCTCTATTCTAAAAATTTCTAGAACTTTATAAGATTGTGCATTTCTTTTACGTTCTGAAGATACAATTAAGCTCAATGACGGCTATATTAGTATTAAAGACATATTCCATTCTACTGAAGGAACTCTGCTTACTGGAAAATAAATCCATAAGTGCATTAGGAAGTCCAGTGCTAGCTAGATGAAACAGAAAAACATTTGTTATCTGGGCAAGGGGTAACGGAGGGTATGACTAAAAAAAATGAGGTGCTTCCCCAAAGCAAGGAATCTCCCTGACGGACAGAGTATAGCTCTTACAATACTGACAAATACACAGACACACAGCTCCTTTAAATACAGAAACAGATATTAAAAACTAATGGACTATTAAAGCTGGGCTTTAACTAGAGGCGGAATGAAAATGCTGCAAATCCCAGTATTGTTTAAACTGAACCCTTAGCAAAGGGAATTGCCTGGTGGAGATTGTTAGCGCAGATGTATGTGTGTGTACCTCACTCATGCAGGGCAACAGGTAACACAGAGTTCAAGAGGGAAATTAATTTTGCCTTGTGGCAGAAGGCAAAGCAAAATCACTAGTTTTCAGAGTTGTGTGTGCATCAGGAAGCTCAGTGTTTAAAATGTCCATATTTATTCTGCCAGAAAAACAACCGGGTGCCTGGTTTTAATTGTGACGAATTTACAGATTCTTTGAAGAATATAAAACAAACTGAGAGGTTAGTAACAAAACTGAGGAAGGACCCTCATAAGCCTTGAATCCCTACAGCAATGCCGTGTTTCTTTTTCAGTGTTTGGAAATGCTGCTGTTATTGCTATGTTTGTTTGCTTCATTGTCTTCCCCTGTTGCTCTCTCGCCCATGAAAGTTGCAGGAACCCTCAACCCCACAATGGCATCTATCCAGCTGCCACTGCTGCTCCTCTGCCTGACCTTGTGTGGTGTGTGCCTCAAGGAGAGGCCGCCCTTTCCAGAGGGAAGTGAGAACATGGGAAGAAGTCCCCTGGATGACATCCTGCAGAGATCTGACAGCCTCATTCTCCAGTCTGTCTTCAAGAAAGCTGAAAAGGAAGGAGAGATTAATAAAGGTATGTATTACACTGGGGACACTCATCTAGTTTTGCTGGCACAGTACTTGCCTGAGATAATTAGATCCAATGTATAGTTCCCAGGTTCTGATGTATATATATCTTACTCTAAGGGAAAGGGAAGGATAAGAGATCTGCTGTGATACACTGACACAGAATTTCCAAAAGCCACTGTTCTCTAAGATCTCCCTGCTTATGCAATGCTGTACCGTCACTAAGCAATTGCTGCATAATAAAAAAGGTAGAAGCCCATCACAGAAAACTTGCTTGTCTAGTAAGTACTTCCCTAAGGAAGCTCTAAGAGGACACATGGAAGACGTTGCCCAGTTGTGGACCCCATAGCTAATGTTATTTGGAGGTGGGAGTGCTACCATTCCCCGACAACCTCAACCCAGTGGTTCCTACACCCCAGCAGAGGTGGGCTTTTCCATGGCTGGGAATGCAGAGGCTGCTCCTCCTAGTCTGCAGATGCTCTGCTCTCACTAGTCACTGCAGCAGAAACAAATCAGACTGCAAGAAGCAGCACAGAGGTGCCTGCCACCAAGGAGCACAAAGCTCCTTCAGAGTGGAAAAACAAGCTGGCTCATTTGTCCATAGAAAAAGCCTTCTTCCCTCTTCACATGAATGCTGAAAATAGATTATGTTGGTCCAAGACCTGAAATATTAAGAAGAGCTTAAGAATGAGCATGAGATACTAATGGCATTATGACTGGCAGCTGGAAATACTGAGCTGGCTTTCAGGTGTCCAGATCCCCGCTTCTACTTGTGTCTCAGACCTATCTTTTCCCTGCCTCATGCTGATTTCCAGCTCTTCACCATATGCAGCTTCTGCAGCTGATTTCTTCCAGCTGCTCAGCATCTTTTACTCATCTCCCTTTACCTGAATCTGACACATTTACCTGTATCAACACATTAGGCTTGATTATTGCATGTCTTTCCATTTGGCTGCAGCTAGTTCCTAGTGTGTCAATCATCCTTGCTAAAAATGTACCAGAACTGTTTTAACAGATGCTATCTGGAGTGACCAAATTTAAGACCATACTTGCAGTTACCTCTGCAATTAAATGGGCATAATGAGCAACAGATAATGGTCCTGCACCATACAACTCCACAAATTCCCATTTCAACTACCTTAGTGAGGACTATGGGGGCTCATTAACATTATTCTTTTCCATGGACAGAATCAAATGCGCCTCTGCCAGAATGGCTTTCCAAAAGACAACACTTTGGGAAAAAGTACTTGAGTGAGCTGGAGAAGAGACAGCATCCTGGGAAAAGAGATGTTGAGGAAGACACATCTTATGGAGACATCCAGAAGAGGCAGCATCCAGGGAAAAGAGAGACAGAAGATGACCTTGACAGCTCTCTGGAGCTAAAAAAGCGACAGCATCCTGGCAGAAGGTCACTGTTGGCACAGGATGCTGACAACCCTAGTTCACAGCTGACCTACTTGAATGAGTTATCCAAAAGACAGCATCCGGGCAGAAGGTATCTGATCTACAAGCACCAGCATCCTAGCAAGAGAGGCTGGAATGATGAGGTAGACTTAAATGATCGATATGGTGAGAAACACCAGCACCCTGGAAAAAAGCACTGGAATTTTGACAGCTCAGATGATGCAGGCCCCTGCAACTTTCAGGAGTCCTTCAACTGTAACAAAGGCAGCTTGTTGCTTGATCTAGTAGAAAATGCTGGCAAAGAAAAACGTCAGCACCCAGGAAAGAGATCAGCATGGGAGAGTGAAACAGAAGAATGAGAAAATCATTGTGTATCCTTTGCATTGGTGAAGTAAGCTGCCAGATCACTAAAAAGTTCTGTTCACTCCCTTTCTGCTTCCTGCTGCTGACCTCTGCACCCATCTTTCAGTGCATTAATGGCTTTGTCACACACTTAAAGGGACTGAGGGGGACAGTTGCATGGGTCAGGCAAGTACTGAGAATCTCCAACTCACCGGATCCAAAGATGAAAGTGCTTATTTCCTTATGGGCCCAGACCCCAGAAAAATACCACTATGTGTGTCCAATTTCCTATTTCCAAATTACTAAAACAGGCTATTAAATATCTGTTCTGATGCTGCTAAAATGGAATAATTATATGGTTTCTTCTCACATCAGTGAAATCAGTAAATTAATGGAGAGGGAGAAAAAAAGAACATCCATGAGTTGTTTCAAAATTAAATTGGATAGGTTTTCAATTGAAAATGATACATTAATGAGACCTGAACCCTTGTGTGCTACAATCTGTCTAGACAGTAAGCACAGAGATAGGAACTGCTCCAACTTGAACAGAATAGATGACTGAGTTTATAGTTTGACTTGGAACTGGCACATGAAGCCTGTTTTCACCTAAGAGGCTGCACAGTGTAAAGTGTTAATGTATCCCAGAGCATCTCAGTTGCAAGTTGTGAACCTGACTGTGTACACCCTATAGCAGAACTCCCTCCCTGGTGTGTCCACACTTGAGTCATGCCACCTAAAATCATGCCTTCTCCTCAGACATTTAAAAATTAAACAAGCAGACATCCTTTTCTTCAAAGAAGGATTTCTGATGTCTCTCCTCTCAAATGAATGCTTTTACTTTTGTGGTGAGATTCCCAAAAGTGTTTGAAATGAATCATTCAATAAACATCAATAATCAACTCTGGGTGTCCTTACTGTTGTGCAAACATGCTGTAATAGAGTGAAAAACATAAACCCAACCCAAGCTAAATAAATATAAACATCAGAGTATTTTTCTAGGCACAATCTTCTTGCATGCTGGTGGTCAGTACATGTTTATATATAAAACTATTTTGCTACTGAAGTGGAAGGATGATTTGCCTATAGATAGATTCCCTTTTAAAATCTGCTACTGTATGACACACAAAGTTATGCATCTGGGCTAAATTCACAGTAACCTTCTTACCTTGTTCACAGGGAACTTTACCAGAAGACTGATTTCCTGTTCACAAGTCTAAAAAATAGATTTACAGGGTTTTGTAATTAATACATGGTTACTGAGTGCACTGAATTATTCATAGCATCACTTCTTGTCTGTATTTTGCTAAAATGCTATGTTTTTATAAACAAATTAGTATGTTTACCACTGTCATTCATCCTTAATACCATCATGACACAGTGCTTTGAGTGTTCCTTCTAGATATGATTGTTTGCTTCCTCACTCGGGGCCTCAGAGCATTTCTTCAGCTATAGAAGTTAGTTTTGCCATACAGTTTAGTTACTCTGATCATCTCAGTGAGCTTTCCTGATGTTAACACTCCCAGGCTGCTCAGCACTTAACACAGTCTATGTACAGGACATACAGAGCTCTCCTATTGACAGGGGCTTTCTAATTCACAAGTGCTGAAGAAATCCTCAGAGGAGGCAGCTGGGAACGTTCCATGCACTTCATATTCCTTCAGCACACTCTCTGTATGGGATGTTCATTTTTCATTTTATAAGGAAAAAAGGATGTCTCTAAAGAATACCATTTCACATACTATTTCCAGCAGTGAAGGAATGCTGCTCACACCTCAGGGAACATTACTACCCAAGACCACCACCACTGCTATAAAATTTCCCAAATAAGTGAAAAACAGGAAAGAAAAAGTTATCAAGTGGGTAAACATGGGCACCAGCAAAAATGCATCACAGTTCCTGCAAGACAAGGAGGCTGCTGTGGCTGCTACAAGAAAGCCAAGGCGGGAAAGGGAGAGAAGCATGAAAACCCAAAGTTGTGCACTCGCCTTGCACCAGTCATGCAAAATCTTATTTCCAACTTTCAATGCCACTAAACCAACCATGCACAGAGGAGTTCTTTATTTACCACAGGTTTACATTTCTGGCATGTTACCAGTCATTGTGACATGGGAATTTGATTCCTAAAGCACAACTTTTACAAGTATGTTCAAAATGAACCTTTTTTCTTCTTGTTTTCCTGCAGTGGAAGGAAAAGCTGATGTGAACAAGTTGTACAATCAACATTTCCTGCAACTCCTGTTCTGTGCCCCCTCCCACACACTTACCAGCCTTGACCACTTTGCTAATTGACCACTGTAACTAGCATGGGCTGAGTGTTTTTAAGGGACATGTGGCCCCAACAAACCCCTTTATTACTACTTTTAATGACTCATTAGTTGGAGAAAATTTGACAACATCATCACCATGGCTGAAGTAGAATCACTGCTTGCCTGGTAACTCACTTGGCTAGCATTAAACAGCCAGCTGCACTTCCAAAGCATTGGTTAGGACATTGCTATGAATAATAACTATGATAAAAATCAGGTACATGGAGAAGCACTGCAGAAGGGATGAGTCTGGGCAAACTCCAGACTGTACAGAGATACGGCACAAAAGATGCAGACAGAGGAATCCTTCTGGTTTTAGGAAAGGGATAAGTGGATGAAGTTCCACTTCACTCCCAGTAAGAAAAGCGTGAACTCTGCAGTCCTACAAGGGTCATGAGGAAGGATTCAGGTTGAATACAAAGACCTCTGATGGGAAAGTTCCTTGAGAAAACGGAATTATCATCCTGCCTTGAGATTACTTTTATACCTCTGTGAAGACATTTGTCCTTTGTTTTCCTTGGTGAAAACACTGCAGCTTTAAAGTCCTAAGAAGGAAACCAAGAAAAGGACATTTATCAATTATCTGCCAATTCACTCTGTCTGCTTACATGAGATGAAGGACCACAGGCTGAAGGAGGGTAAAGCCTCCCCTAAGAACCAGAATCTGATTGGATCACAAATTGCACTGGTATGCTGGAGCATGATACTGATTCCTGACAGAGACAGGGCATGTTAGATACTAATGTAATCGAACAATCCTAGCCAAAAGGCAAAGACAGCTCTTGAGTTTATTTTCAGCCTCATTCACTCACAGCTAACAGGCACTGCACCTTCCTCAAGTTCACATGAACTGGAAAGAGGGGAAATCTGGACTTAATAAATCAAGCAAATACTCTTGCAAAATCGGATGGCGGTAAACCAGGATTCAACTTGCCATATCAAAGGAAGCGATTTCATTCCCATCTTCTCTCTATAATGGATATCCTACCTGAATGCAACTGAGTATGATGCAGCCTAGAGACTTCAGTAGCTGATTGGTATAGGAAAAAATGTGAGATTATGACCAAGAAAACTAGGGAAAGTGACGTGCTTTGAAGAGGTTGCCTAAAATATGATTGCTGTTTTAAACTGATTTTCACAGAGAAGCATATGTTTCCAGCCTAAGTTCCTTCCTGATTCTGAAGCTGCTACTGCGTGGGGCGTCTGAAGAAACTATTGTAAAAAGAGAAGAGGAAGAGGAGAGAGAAAAGCAAAGACAAATGAAAAATATAGTAAAACTATACGGAAGGTTCTCTGAGCCAAAGCAGTCAAGACAAAAAGTAAGCTCTTTAAACAAGCAGGTGCTGTTGAAGAAGACAGCAACACAGCCCTGCAAAAAGTCACAAATCATTCACTATTGAACACCCACTGTTGAGGGTATCTGCTTACTGATTTTAGAGATGCTTTCAAGAAGGGAACTGGTTGCTGTACAAATTTATAGGGGAAATAGAATACAAGAGAGGCTACAGGAGACAGCACCCAAATATAGAGGTGCTTGAAATCTGAAATGAGCCCTGAACATAATCTAGACATTGTGGCATATGGATCCTACAGTTAAAACATTAAATAGAATGCAAACACAAAGGAATTCTGAATCTTCCTTACTGCCCTTTATAATTCACCTACCCTATGTACAAGTGGTGCCACTCCCCAGCATTCAAGCCCAACATCCTAGATTCTTCAGCAGCAGTAAGGGCCAGATAAATTTATGCAGATGACTGGGCTGCCAGTGCTGAAGCAGTTAATAGGCAAATCAGACAAATGGGGCTCAAAAGCTGTCAGCTGCAGCTCTTACAAATCACCACCTGCCAGTTTTGATTGAGGAGTCTGCAAACACAGGAAAAGCCATGGTTTAGCATGGAAATGGAGCGTCTGTCCTCTCTGCACAAACTACTTAAACGGATTTGGTTTGTATCAAAATGTTTACTCCAAGCAACTGGAGTACATCGAATGTATGAGCTTTGTTAAAAGGAACAGCGATGTGTTCCTTTGTGTTCCTCTATTCAGTTCTATGAGCAAAATGAAAAATAGAGAAAATGTTGGTTTAGATCCACCTAAATGAACAATAATTTTTTTTTTTGCAAATAAATTAAAATCAATGCTGTAGGAAGAATTTCATGCTAATCCCTTTCAATGTTAGGAGATTCAAAATTATTAAAAAAAAAATCTATCATTAAATTACAAAACTGAATTTAGGCCAATTTTACACACAGTGCCACTCAAAATTAACTGGCCACTTAGTTTAGTAAGAACACTCTGATTTTCCAAAGAACACTCTGATTTTCCACTCTGCTTCCACCCCAAAATCTATACTGAACTCAACACAACTTTCAGATATTGAACACATTTTTTACAGTGAGTAAGCTGTACTTGTACAAAAATGTCCCACTGCATTCCCTGAGAAGTAGACGGGCATCACCAAGAATTACTTCTAGTCTACATTAATCTCTCCCGTGCTGGGATCAGATTCCATTTTTAACATTTCAAATGGCGCTGAAGATATTACAAGTCGGAGAACACACGTGAACATAACTGGAAGACATTTCTGACAGGACTGTGCCATGGCTACAGGGCTGCCTGTCCCCCTTCTCAGTTGTATTCCCACTGTAGCATTTCAGTAAGGTTTAATTTGTCCCTAAATACCTCTCTTCCTATTGCAACTAGCTGGATGAAAAAAATTCATGTTTGAAGAAGTGTAAACTGGATTGCTTTAGACTGACCTGGAGTTTTTCATTTTGGGAACACTCTCTGTGTGGGAAAGTGTGATGAGCCTGACTAAGAGACAAGCAGCCAAAATCTATCCTCATTTACACCAGCACAAACTTGGATTGCGCTCCTCTGTAAAAAGACATGGGGCCCTCAGAGACACAGGAGCCCACATTTCCCTTTGGGAGTGCACAGAGACCATTCAACACATCACTACATCTGGAAGGCTAATGCTGTATTATCACTTCTATAATTCTCTCTGGGAGTCTCCCAACCAGAGTCTAATACTCTCATAAGGATTCAGATCATCCTAAACAGTGCAGTCACTTAATGTGCAATGAGTTCCTCAGAAAGTATTGAAGACTCTTTAAATCCAGAAACATGCAAACAAATGGCACAGTCACCGAAGCTGTAGAGAAGCACAGGTTTAAGGAAAGAGCTTGCTGTTCAGTACAGCCTCGCTTTTCCTTACACCTGGTACTCTCAGCTTCTGAATGACAGGAGAGGACCGGGCTGCCAGCGGCCAGGAGCATCCTACTGCAGGAAAAAAGTCTTTCAAGCAACCTGCCAAGCAGCAGGGTGGGGGATCCACCGCAGGGCCCCGCAGGTGTGCGGTGGGCTCAGTCGTGCTCGGTGTGACACCTAGTGACAGGCACGGCTTCCATCACCCACTTTCCTTGTCTCTTCCCTACACCTATTTAACAAGAAATGCTTGGGGTTCCTACAGCCCCTTCACTTGTTAAATAAATAATTTAAAAGCAGAATCATACCTTCTAAAAAAAAATAAATAAAAATCTCAATGTTCTATAATGTACCTGACTGTACCTGTCGGGACAGGACCCGACAAGGGCAGCTTTTACAGCATGACAAGATCCCTTATTGGTTTTCAACCAGCAAAACTGGTTCTGTTTTGCATGCTGCACAGAAGGGGGACTGTGACTGGGTGCCACACTGTTTCCACAGCATCTCTTTCTCTACTCATAACTGAATCAAGATGCACAGTTTTGAAAACCAGAGCATAATGGTTACTAACAGCAAACTGTATGTGTAAAAAAAAAACAGAGTTTGATTGTTTCTAACATTCATTTACTGCTATGGTTAAATCTCCAGTTCACGTTTAGGACTTTGGTTTCCCATTATACTTTTGCTGGATGATGGAACAATAAACACAAACCAGATGAAGTTCAGTGGTGATGTGACAAGGTGCACGTAACAGTCAGTGCACAAGGGCCAGATTGCAGGAACAAGACCAAAATTTAGGATGACTAGTAAAAATCCCTCAACCCACCTGTGAACACCCCAGGTGCTTTAGCTGGGATTTGAAGTCCGGAGAAGTTGGGCATCTAGTTATGTAATCCATGCCTTGGAAAAACACTCCCACCCTTTAATGTTTTAAAGGACTTAACTCCAAGCATAAACGTGCAGTGAAAAACCACTTTTAATGTCTAGGACTCAAGTATAAATAGCATTGTCACAGAAGATAATCTCTGCCTCCAAAAGCTTGCAATTCTAACAGGTGAAGCAGGAGCAGGCTCTACGCTGCCGTTATTTCCCCCACACAAGGGAACGCGGGGCAGCAGTTTTCTGCCAGCTGAGACTAAACAGAACCTGGCATCACAAAGGGGCTATCGAAAACCTTCTGCCATTGACACAGCGGTTCGCCAGGTGCTGGCGGGTTCCCGCTTCCCTGCGGCTCCGCCAGCAGCACGGCGCCCGCGTCGACTTTGGAACGCTTTCGTTTGAATGCCTTGGCAAGCTAAGGAAGGGGACACCGAGCTTGTCCCCGTTAGCCACGCCGGTCCCGAGCCCGCTCAGGAGTAACGGCTAGCGGCACAAACCCACCGGCAGCCGACACGAGAAGCGACTAGGTGTGGGATGTCTCGAAGCAGCGGGAGGCCCCGGAACCCCTGCTCCTGACAGGATTCTGTCACAGCGATCGCACGCAGCCTCTCTCACACACACCTGAAAGCCTCGGGATGCTGCAGCAGACCCTGGTACCGGGGTCCGTTCCAGGGGGACTGGAAACAGCGGAGCGGTCACCGCACCCCCATCAGGCGATGCGAGCCTGGTCACGGCCCCACACCGCCGCCACCGCCGCCCCGCCCTCCATCCATAGCTCTGCGATCGGCAGCACATGCCTTAGCGAGGCCCCGCATCTTCCGCCGGCCCCGGATGAGCCCTGCTTGTCCCCACCCCTTCCGCCTATCGATAGCTCGGTGCTCGCCCCACCCTCCGTCGCCCCTTACCGCTCCCGGGCAGCCGGGGTCCTACCGGCGGGTGCCGTTGCTATCACGTGCCTCCTGCTAGGCCCGAGGTGAGCCCCTCCCGCGGCCCTTCAGGCCGGGCGAGGGCCTGTAACGGCCCCCCCTGTGCGGTGGGCGCGGGTGCTAGGCCCTGCTCCTTTCCCTGCGCGCCCGAGCTGGGGGGCAGCGCCCCCGGCGAGTGCAGGGTACGTGCGCCTGCTTAGTGCGCCGCCAGCGCCGGGCCGGGCCTCCGCGCTCGCAGCTCGGCCCCGCCGCGGCCCAGTAGGCCTCAGTGTCTCCGGCGCCGCGGTGGAGCAGGGGCGAAGCCGTCAGCCCGTCCGCCCGCCTGACGCCGCTGCCCGCGTCTCTTCCAGAAAACCGCGAAGGACGATGCTGACCCCGCGCTTCGGCCCTGCGGGGCGGCCGTGCCCTGCTCTGCCCCGCCGCTGCTGCTGAGCCCGGAGAGCGATCGCGGCCGGCACCATGGCGTCCGGCTGCCCGCCGCCCTTCGGGGACCCGGCGGAGATGCGGGAAGGGTTCTTGTGCCCGCTCTGCCTGAAGGACCTGCAGTCGTTCTACCAGCTCCAGACGCACTACGAGGAGGAGCACTCCCGCGAGGACAGGGATGTCAAAGCGCAGCTCAAAAGTAAGAGCCGTCACCGGCACTTTAGCGCGTTCGGTTCTGCCAGGCGGGGGCACCGCGGGGCTCCCGCCGCGCGTTACCTCAGGCCCAGGCAGAAGTTTTACATTATTTCCGATACTTTCGATAAGAAAATTCGGAAGCAGCCGTTAAAACCCATCACTCTTCAAGTGTCTGTTTCTGTGTGTGACTTATTATTGGCCCTTTGGGTTGCTTTGTTTTTATCTGAAAACTCTTGATATATGCTGTAACCCAGATGAATTCTCAAGCATTACTTGAAGACCTTACTGAATAAAGGGAATCTCTGGTACTTGCCGGGTACTGATTTATTAATCCCGTGTTCCGACAGTAGGTAAAACTGCAGTTACAGTGTGTGAAGCTCAGAAAGGTTGTTGGGGAGAAAAAGAAGAATGTGGGTGGAGCTGGCAGTAGCTGCTGGGAACGTCCCGGGGTTGTGCTGTGGATTGCCATCTGCGGTCTGTAAACCCCTTTGAATTCTCTTTAAGTAAAATCTTTACCCTTTTATCCCCCTTGTGTACTCGGTGTTGTCTTACCTTGAGAGAAAAATGGGCCAAACCTGGTGATAATTCTGTGTGTTCCTGTAAAAGTCCTTTTGTGTTTATTATATGAGAGAGGGTGGCCTGGCTGCCCTGAATCTTTACTCTTGCCTCTGCTTTTCCCCTGAGATTGATGACTGTTATTTCCTCAGTGAAAGTGTTGTGGGTTTAACAAGCCTATCTCAAGGGCAGCACAGAATATTTCACAAATCTTTAAGTTGCTTTCCATCCGTCTGGCTACTTCCTGGCTCTTGGCACTGTGCCGCTGTTGGACAGCGAAGGCAGAGTGCTCAGTACTGCAGCTGTGTTCTTACATGGGTACAGTGCTGCAAAGAGCTGAATCACAGGTGCTTCCATGGAGCATTTAAACCAAAGTAACACCGTGGTTTTCACCATGGTAAGAGGAAAGAAAGCAACAAGTTGGGTTGGCAAGATTTCCAAAATGCTTTTATTTAATACAAAACACCTGCGCTTTGATTTTGTTCTCTCAGTGTTCTCTTAATCTAGACTAGTGTACTGTGACTTCTCAGGCCATCTTTCATGCATGTTTTTACATAAAGGACGTTGGTTTTGTCTGCTTACTTTCTGTCCTAGGTTTTCATGTCAAGGTCTGTCCAGTGAGGTCCCTTTTAGAAGAAGGAAGGTCAGCAGAACCACTGATTTAAATTGCCTGTTGTAGGGACTGTGCTCAACTCTAACTACTCTAACTGGAGTTCTAGAAATGCTTACAAATCACTGTATTGATTCAGTTGGGTCATATTGACGTGGTTAAGTTGGAGTTCACGGGAAACAAAATTATGAGGATTGCTTGAAAAGCTTTTGTGTGTGTGACAAAGCCATGAGGCATCCCTACTTCTTTTTGAGTGTATCAGGTTTTAGAAGTCTCAGGTACAAATCTGTTCTTTATTTAGGTGGTGTAAACTTGAACTGCAGGGTCTAGCTGGTGTTTCTGTGCTGGCTTGAGAGTAGGAGGAGAAATCCCTGACAGCTTTGTTGAGAAGTGGGTTTTATATCACTGAGTGTAATTTTGGGAGGTAGCATAACTTCCACAGCTGACTGTGTCTGGCAAGAAGAGTAGGGCCTTCCGCTTCTCCTAGCATACAGAGAAGAGCGTAGCTTCAGAAGGTCTGGAGTTTCAAGCCTCAGGAGACTGCCCTCTTGCCAGCATTGACAGGAGATTGGGGCTTTTTAGTGCTTCTGAAAGTATTTATGTGTACAAGCACACTGAAATTCTTAGTTTGTAGTTTGTGCAACAAGACGGTGTTGAACATCCTTGAAACCTAAGAAAGTCCTCAGGAATTCAGAGAATGAAGATATTATCTGCATGATGCCCCAGAATGCTGTGAAATGGGTCCTATAGTTAAAGACAGCTTACTATTTTACAGTGAAGTCCTTGAATGGAATGTCTAAAACTGCTGGTTTATCATTAGGATCATAGTGCTACTTTGCGACAGATAACAAAGAGCATTTCAAGTCATCTGTGATTCCCTGAGCCACATTCTGGTTCTAAGCAGAGTATGTTGAGGGTGAAACTGTCATCAAGGAAAAAGATCAGTACTAAAAGATGAGAAACTTCACGTGACAAATATTTGGTGACTACCTGCCACATTTGGTAACTTGGATTTATCCTTTTCAGATCTAGTCCAGAAGGCCAAAAGAGCAAAGAAGAAATTGCTGAAACGAGAAGGAGATGACAGAACTGATTCTGGATCTCAGGAACGATACGAGTCATTCAGCTATGGTGGAGTAGATCCATACATGTGGGAGCCCCAGGAAGTTGGTAGGAGAGCTAGAAAGTGATATGCAGCAAGGATTTTTCTTTAATTGGGAAAGTGCTATAGTATTGCTGATGCTGCATGGAACTGTGTGGAGTTGGTTTTGAGAACACTACTAGCTGATAATAGCTTGCCAGATGTAACTAAGGGATGAAGAGGGGCAAAAACTTTGTTGCAGATGTTGTCTTCAACATAGTGCCTGTTGTTTTCTGTATTAGAAAGAAAATGCTGTTTTATTGCTAGCCTGGAGGTTGGGCTTTAACCTGCATGTTTTACTTAGGGCAGCACCATGAAAATGTAGGGTTCTAATTTGTCTTTAAAATTTAATTTGAAGATGAGACATAAGTAGTGGAGAGCTGTCTTTCAAGGGGCATTTAAATCCATTCAGAACACCTGGGTGACTGTGAACACTTTTTGCTGTCTCTCCAGGTGCTATGAGAAGCCATCTCTCTGATTTCAAGAAACACCGAGCAGCCAGGATCGATCACTATGTAGTAGAAGTCAATAAGTTAATAATCAGGTTAGAAAAGGTAAATTTGATGCTTTTAATATTTTTAATATTTAATATATCTTTAGTATGAAGTGTGCCCATTTATCTAGCAGCCACTTTTATAAAGGATACTAAACTAACACTCTGTTCACACATTACTGTTTTCCTTTTTTATCCTTGAGTACTGTGCTTGGTCTGAGCCCATACTGTGGATTTGACTTCTGTTTTGTGCACTAGTTTCAAGATGAAGATACTACATCCACCTGCTTCAGGAACTGTTTCTTTCCCCATATATTTTCTTCATCAGTGGCTATATTTCTCCCTGATTTGTTTGTCATGATTCTTCCAGCTTTCCATTCTTCAAAATCTACCAATGATATACTTGCATTTTGTCTCAGATAGTGCTGGATGCTGTAAGGATTATGTCCAAAATGCTCTGATTTGTACAGGTTTGGTGTCATTGTTTGGAACTACTTCATGAATATTGCATTAGAAATAAATAGGGAAGTTGCAGGAATCGGGTGCAGAACAGGCTGAGACTTCTGTCTCTCCAAACCTATAGGTTTCTTTTTCCCACTGGGCTGGACTGTATTGGTTTTTTTTCTTGCAAAGTGCCATGTTCTTGAATGTGTTGTTTATCTCCTTCTAGCTTACATCGTTTGACAGAGCAAACACTGAGTCAGCCAAAATAAGAGGTTGGTATGAGCTTGTTTGTTCTTGTAGTTTAACCAGCTGAGGAATTAATTGAATGAATATTTTATGTTGTGTGTATTCCTCCCTACTCTTGCCGTATCACAGCTATAGAGAAGTCTGTTGTGCCTTGGGTCAGTGACCAGGATGTTCCCTTCTGCCCAGACTGTGGCAATAAGTTCAGTATTCGAAACCGACGTCACCACTGCCGCCTTTGTGGGTCTATTATGTGCAAGAAGTGCATGGAACTTGTTGGTCTTCCTTTGGCAAGTAAGTACGGTGTGTGATGTTAATTCCTCCTCTCCTTAGCTCACTCAGTGCTAACTCTGTCCTGCCTTTCTGCCATTAGAAAAAAAGCTGCTGGTAACATTCTGTCTATGAGGAAAACTTGGTCCTTAATTCATCATTCAGCCACTTGTGTGTGAAACAGAGTAAAAATGATTTCTCCATTGTTTGTTTCCATTCCTTCTTCAGGTTTGGGAGTGTTACATAACCCTAAAAAAGTTACTAGAAGAAGCAGTAGTATATACTACTAGTAAATACAATTAATATTTAGTATTTGAGTCTACCAAGTACCATAATTATGAAGATATAAGCTCAAGGAATTAAAACTGCCAAGGTTCTTGACATTTGAAACTATTGCATGTATTTCCAGTCTTTGCCATGGCTGTCCACATGCTGACATTAAAGAAATTCAGCCACAGGCCTTTAAGAAACCTGTCAAACTTTAATTTCCTCATTCAGCACATTGGAGAGGACACCATATTTTCTGTTGAAATAAATAAACTGAACTCTCCAAACAGCTCAGTTAAGCACAAAACATGGGCAACATTAAGGTACCTGTTGTTGCACATGCTGTTCTATAACTGTGCAAGCTCCAGCGTGAGAATGCTTCTAGGCACAAGCCAAGTAGGTGCTTCTCAACAGTCTGCTCTCTAGCTCCTTCTAGGATGGAGCAGGTTTACAGTGAAGACCCAAATTCTGACTTGCAGCCTTGATTGTCATAGGTTCCTGTGTGTCTTTTTCAGCAGATTATTTCAACTTGGTTTTCAGATATGACCTGAATGTGAAGTTTTTGTTAAAGTGCAGTTCATTTGTGTCAGTAAAATCTGTTGGCTTCTCCAGTTGCTGTAAAACTTACCTGTGTGTAATTTTTAGGCAAACTCACTAGTGCCAGCAGAGAGGCCTTGGGTTCTCATACGAGCCCGAACTCCTCACCTAACAGTGTCCATGGCTCCCGCCGTGGCAGCATTAGCAGCATAAGCAGCGTGAGCTCAGTTCTGGATGAGAAGGATGATGACCGAATCCGATGTTGTCGGCACTGCAAAGATACCCTGTTGAAAAGAGAACAACAGATTGATGAGAAAGAGCACACTCCAGAGATTGTGAAACTGTATGAGGTAAATCAGAGTCTTTGCTGCTTCCATCCTCAGTGTATCTGCCTGCGGTTGTCACTACTTGACTTCAGGCTTGTTATCTCATGTCCAAGTGCTTACTTGATGACTTAATACTTGCTTTTGTTAGAATCGATTCTACTTTATGCCATGTAACAAAGATATGTCTGAAATGATGGAGCTGATTGCCATGCAGTAGTTATATCATGATAACACCATTTTAAGATGCATCTTCATTCTCATACCTTAGAACTGATAGTTCTGAGACGCACCTCTCAAAATTGTGAACTGTGTCAGCTGGGATTCCCTAGAACAGTTCTTATTTAAACCAATGATACGCGGTGCACTTTGGGCTGCACTAGCGCTATAGGACTCAATATTGTCAGCACTGTTTGTCATCACACTCATGGCAAATGTTTTTTTAAACCAGTGAGATCAATCAAGAGTGTATGGTTGGAACATTGTTTTCAACTGTGTTGAAAGCGGGTACTGACAATCATCAGGTGTCTTTTAAATTGAGTCCACACCCCCCCCAAGTTAATAGTAATGGGAGTTGGTGCGCTTTGTGAAGAGATTTAAGGCTAGAAGTTGTCCAAGCCATCCATTCTAACAGCTTTTGAATGCAAAATTCACCTTGCAGAAATTCAGGGAGTCTTTCGCTGTTCCTGACTATGCCATCTGTGTTGGAAAAATAGAGGGTCTTGTCATCCTGAATAATTAAATGGCTTTTCTCATGGTTAACTTTATGCACATGCAGTGTGCAGGGTTTATGTCAGCATGTACTTGCATAAGTGTTTAATGGAAGTTCTTTTTTCACGCATTTTGTTTTAAACAAGAAACTCCGATTCTGCATGGAGAAGGTTGACCAGAAGGCACCAGAGTATATAAGGATGGCAGAATCACTAAAGTAAGCCCTATTTGCTGAGTTTATGAATGTATGTATGTACTTTTCTTCCCCAGAAGACTAGGAAGGACTGAGGAACTGTGCCAAGTCTGCAAGAGTGTGTAAATTATTAAAAAAGCACTGTTAGATTATCTGTTGTCTTTTGGACGCTCTTCAGAGTAGCACTGAGTTACCTATGGATGGTAACACTGGCACTTCCCACGGAGGTGCCACTCATATTTTGATGTGTCATCCTTTCAAGCCCTTTAGAGTTGCCACTTGTTAAATCTTCATAGAGTCATAGAATCATAGAGTAGTCAGGGTTGGAAAGGACCTTAAGATCATCTAGTTCCAACCCCCCTGCCATGGGCAGGGACACCTCTCGCTAAACCATCTCACCCTAAACCATCTAACCCAAGGCTTCGTCCAACCTGGCCTTAAACACTACCAGGAATGGAGCATTCACAACCTCCCTGGGCAACCCATTCCAGTGCCTCACCACCCTAACAGGAAAGAATTTCCTCCTTATATCCAATCTAAACTTCCCCTGTTTAAGTTTTAACCCGTTACCCCTTGTCCTGTCACTAGAGTCCCTAATGAATAGTCCATCCCCAGCATCCCTATAGGCCCCCTTCAGATACTGGAAGGCTGCTATGAGGTCTTCACGCAGCCTTCTCTTCTCCAGGCTGAACAGCTCCAACTTTCTCAGCCTGTCTTCATACAGGAGGTGCTCCAGTCCCATGATCATCCTTGTGGCCTCCTCTGGACTTGTTCCAACAGTTCCATGTCCTTTTTATGTTGAGGACACCAGAACTGCACACAATACTCCAAGTGAGGTCTCACAAGAGCAGAGTAGAGGGGCAGGATGACCTCTTTTGACCTGCTGGTCACGCTCCTTTTGATGCAGCCCAGGATACGGTTGGCTTTTGGGCTGCAAGCGCACACTGCCAGCTCATGTTCATTTTCTCATCGACCAATCTTAGTCATCTTGGGGTAACTTCTAGTGCTGTGTGTATTGTTAGCTGGAAGCATGTCTTACAATGAAGTTGTATTTATTTCTTAGTGCTGGGGAGACAACCTACAGTCTTGACAATGCTAATGACTTGAGGGTGGAGATTCAAAAAGTATACGAACTTATAGATGCCTTAAGGTAAAAGATCTCTCCCTTCCTCCCTCCCCCAGCATGTGTGTGTCTGTCTGTTTATGACTTCTCTACAGTTTTTTCCAACTACTGGTGTCTCTGTTTGTGTATCACATACCTGCTTATTCATATGGACAATCAGTTTGTTCAGCTGTAAGGAGCGTGTGAAAAAGGTAGATGCTGTCCTTGTGCACCATCAATTTCTACTTCGTTTTCCAGCCTTAAAAATCATGCATTTCTCTGCAGTGCAAATAACTAAGCCAGAGGAAACAAATAGAGGCACAGTTGTTTTTTGTTTGGGTTTTGGGTTTTGTTTGTATTTTTTTAAAGATGAGTGGGAAGTCTTACAACTTGTAACCCCCACAGTGCTTTACCTAAAAACATGAAGTTTCATCCAGTGTTGTCTTGCTCCCCTTCTGTTGCACTTTTGCTGGCCCTTGTTTCTGAACTCATGAGGCTTTGCTTTGATGCAGTAAGAAGATTTTGAGTCTAGGCTTGCATGAAGATCCCCAGCCTCATCCTAAAACACTACAGCTGCAGAGAATGATAAGATATTCAGCTACACTTTTTGTTCAGGTAATGGAGCAGATGTTATGAACTGAATGTAGATTTTTGTGTAGTGTTCTCTTCTTTGCCAGGCATCCCTGTGGCTTGCAACAATTTTGACAGGAGGTTTAGTTCTAGATGTTTTCTGTATAGTCATTAGTTCCCCATATAGTCTGTATGTACTTGCGTAGTCATTGCTTGTCCTAATGACTTACGGCAGCCAAAAATGAGCTAGCTTGAATACAGAGAGTGCAGTCAGAGCAGCATTGAGTTTAGTGACCTAAGAGAATGTGTGAATCTTGGCTTTGTCTCTTGCTGAGGTATCCAGCTAGCAGGATAGCTCTGGCAGCAAAGACCCGCTCAGGTCTGCAGCAGTGACTACAGTGTAGATGTACCTTTTCTTTGTGGGGTGTTCTGTTGGTGGCATCTCTCTTTTCAAATACTTGAATGCCTGCAAGCAACGATGTGTTTCAATTTTTGCCAGGAGAAACTGCTTGGCCTGATGTCCCTGCCAACCAAAGATCAGTATGAAGAACTGAAGAAGAGAAGACTGCATATGGTAAGACAGGTTAAGATCTGCTACATCATGGGTCAGGGGCTCCTTCAAAAGCTTAAGCCTCATAGGTGTGTGTGCACGAGTAGCTGGATTTCAGTTTTTCATTTTTTTTTAATGCAAATCGTTCCATGCCTCATGTAACACAGTCACTGTATCATCCAGAACATAAACAGGTGTGTAGTGAGCAGCTGAACACCTCCAGAAAGCAGCAGTGACTTGGTGGCATGTGCTGTTTCTGCAGCCTTAAACTATGTGTGTTAATCTACATGGGTTTTCAAATTGTATTCTGGAGTTCATTTGCACAAGTAGAATTTGGAGGCTGCTTTTGGTGGTGAAAAAGGATATATGGGAATAAGGATACCTCTTTTAAGAGAGTTTCTTCAGTTAGGAGGGAGGATATCACTAATTGTAAACTAAAGCAGCTTTATTTTGAGGTAGAAGTTGAGAAATAAGAATTGTTGCACTCCAAAAGCTAATGATATGGATGGCCTTTTAACACAAGATGCTCTACTACAGATGTCTGCTATAGTCAGGTGTGATCCCGTTGCTGTCCAAATCAGTCTTAGAGCACTCTTTGCACAGTTGCATTCAGCATTTCTTGTTCTCTATAAAGCACTGTCACTGCTCTTGCTTGCCTTTAAGTTTGTAGAGGCAGAAGTCATGGGACTTTGCTCAATATCATCACAAACAAACTGAAGGGAAGCATTTGGGTAGTACTATGAAAATAAGTTTTTCTCTGCAAAGTCACCAGAAATGCAGCTGATTCCTTTCAGTGACAGCCAGCAATGTCTAAGATCAGTGAGTTGCTTGTACCTGCAGATGTTTAGAACAGGATTTTTCATGGTCATGGTGTTCTCTTAGTATGTGTTCTTCACTTTAGGTGGCTCTTGAAACACATGGAAAGCAAGAAGAAAAGCAGAAAGATTTAATCTCCAGATCTGCAGCTGCAGTTAATGGTGATGCAACTCACCTGAAGAAAGAAACAGTCAGGAAATCTGAAGGCTGGTTACCTACATCTAGCATATCACGTGAGAGTGAGATAGCAGACCCTCTTCTTCAGCAGATTGACAATATTACATCCTTTATTAAGCAAGCAAAGGCTGCGAATAGGATAGACGAGGTCCATATGTTGCAAGAGAACCTGAGGCAGCTTCAGGATGAGTATGATCAACAACAAACTCTGAAAGCTATTGAGCTGTCTAAAAAACAGGCAGAAGAGGAAGAGATGCAGAGGGAGGAACTTCAAGTGCTTTGTGAAAAAGAGTGGGAAAGAGAACACCACAAACTCATGTCTCAGCATTCAAGGACACGCTCCTTAGACTTCAGAGAAGTCAAGCAGCATCAGCAGGGAGTTGTAAATGAGCACCATAACTTGACAGCATGTGCACTGGATTTGGATATTACTCGGGTCAGAGGGGACCCAGGTTTTGAGACTCCTGCTGTTGAGCAGCTGCCAGCTAAAGAGCACTTGATTTTCACGTTTGCACCCCAGAATGTCCCACAGTGTGACAAAGCCCAAGATCAGCCAGCCAGTCTAAACCCCTTTGAAGATGAAGCAGATACCCCTCAGTTAGAGGAAGATCCTGCTAACCCATTTGCCAAAGACACTTCTCCAATGGTTTCTTTCTCTAACACAGCTTTGCAAAGTGATAAAAAGGAATATAATCCATTTGAAAATGAGGAGGAGGAGGAACAAACTAATGGAGCACCTGGCAGTACTTCAAACCCTTTTGAAGAGGATGAAAA